GTTTGTGTGTGTGGGGGTAAAGAGGAGAGAAAAAGGGGAGAAAGGACACAATTGAACAAAATGAGATCAGCTGCCTGTCTCTCAACGCGGCTGGGTCTGTTTTTCCATCAAGGCCCTCTAGGTTCTGGAAGACACGTTGTCTTGTTTGCCAAAAGCAGGTTGGTAAAAGTTGGTGCTTTCTGCTGGGGCTACTCAAACACCGCCGGTGAGCCTAGCACCCTTAGCAGGACCAAGTGATGTGGTGCAGAGGGCCCATCCTTAGAAGAAGGAGCTCCTTAAGTGGTCCTTGCGTGTGATGGTTACAGCAGGAGCTTCCCTTCACATCCTGTACTTTGCGGGTTAGTTGGCGCCACTTTGTGATTGGTCCTCAGACGTCCACCTGAACTTCCTTTGCAAGCCTGACCTTGTAGACACAAAAGCCCCTCGGAATCACATCCTACGGTGACCTCGGCTTTAGCATCAGGTCGGCTGCAACCTGAAAATGCCAGCCCAGAAAGGGTAAAAGCATTGCATAACGACCAGCCTTGTCACCCCTGTTATGACGACAACATTGGCGTCTACTTGGGTTGTTGTTGTTGTTGTTGATGTTGTTGTTTGTCTACTTGGGTTTTTGTTGTTGATGTTGTTGTTGTTGTTTTGGGCAGAACTCTGAAGCCTAATCCCATGCGATTTCCAAAACTGACTCACTAACCAACTTTTGGGTCCTCTTTGGCCCCAGGGGGGCCAGATGGATCCCCACTTCCCAGGCCTTGAAGAGCAGCCTCAGGAGCAGAGCACGAGGCAGAAACCGGGCGTGGTGGGCCTGGCAGAACCAGGACACGCAGGAGCCAGCAGGTCGGAACGGAGTCACCCAACGCCCAATGGATCCACCGGCCTTCCGGCGTCAACGTTGCTGACGGAGAGCCTCGCCTTGTCGGTCCCCGGGGCCCCTCACCTCACCTGACCCCCTTTGCCCTGAGTGGCCTTCCGCCTGCATCACTGCCCAGAACGTTGCCTCCTGCTTGTCTTTTCCGTTTCGGTCCCCAGGAGGAAAGGGACGAGGCTTTGCTCTCGGTGACTAGAAGGCCATTCACGGGAAGGCTTCCCAAGAACCAGAGAGGGAAGTGAACTCACCCCCCCCCTGCGCATGCCTTTGTGCCTCTTGGCTCTGCCAGAGCCGCCAGGGAAGGGGAGGCGAGAGGGCAGGCGGGATTCCTTTTGTCCCTACTCATTCTCAAGGTTCGCCAAATGGAGCCACCCCCAAAAGTGCCGGGGTGGTGGTGGTGGCGGCACAGGGTTGGGGAGAAGAGCAAATGGCCAGTCCCAGGCAGGTTCACCTAAACACAGCGGGGGGTGGGGGGGAGAGGCAGGGATTATAGCAAACGAAGGGGGATTCTGAGCTACCTAATTTCGGAGGAATTCTACAGTTGCTACTGGAAGATTAACAAAACCACCAAACGGATTAGTTGGGGAGGTGGGGAGGGGACCCTTACTTCATCCAGCTCGCTGCTGCTATCGTCCTTGGGGCACTTGAATGACAAGCAAGTTCCCTTTTGTATAAAACGTGCCTGGACCGTAGAACCTCTCTTCAGGAACTCTCTCAAGAAGGACATGCCCCACAAAATGTGCTGACCTCCAAAATGCGCCACGCGCCACTGGGTGAGCTTCGCCACAGCAGGGCAGCTCCCCGCCTCTGCCAGAAGGCCTCCACCAAGGAAGGGCTGAGTGGCCGGGTAGGGAACGGATCCTGCGCCCTCTCTGTGGCAGGATCTTTCTCTCCATGGATGGTGGAAATCTACCTTCTTCTCCCAGGCCCCCGTGAGGTATAGCCGTGCCCTCTGGAGCAGAAGGGGAACAAGTTTTTCTCCTCTGTCTCGTAGCTGCAGGTACAGGGATCTGTTGCGTGCTCTCTCGTTCCTCCACCCTCACCCCACCTAGGATTCTCTTCGGCCTCCTCGCTTCCTCCAGTCGTTCCTCCTTAGACATTGTCCTCCTCGCGACTGTCCGCTACTGTTGAGCAGCTCAGGAGTCTGAGCCACACTTCGGCTGACGCACACAGCCTGTTCACCAGCCAGGAACCCTCCAAGACCGCCTGACATCTGACTGAGGTGCTCACGCAGGCCGATGGAGGTCGCTACTCTATGGCGCTAGAGAAGTTCCTCTTCAGATCTCAAGAAAATCTCAAGAAAGGTCTCTCAGGCCCCCTGCCTTTCCCTTTGTCAAGCCACTCGTACCCATCAGAAGTGCTTTCCGCCACTTAGTCAACCCCTTTTTCCTTCCCATTTAAATCTGTCTGCTCTCTGGAGCAAAAAGTGATGAACCTGCTCCGGCCTCAGCCACAGAGACCTCCAAACATCCTACCTCACACTCAACATCCTACCTCCCATCCATCAACTCCTTTGTTTCAGCCATGAACTGCGAGGGTGGAGACAGATGGGCCCAGAAGCCAGCAACAACCTCACTTGATCTCTCCTCCCTTGCTTCCGGGCAGACAAGGGAAGCCGGGACGGCCAGCGCTCTAAATCCGTCCAAAGTGTGCCCTGCATTTTCCCACCTTACCCATGACAGTATGGATAAGCCTTCCAGCAATCAAGAGGTACTATCCACAGCATCCTCCTGATCTACCAGGTTAGTAACTGTTCGGAAGGACCGAAGGTGAGCATAGCCTTCGAACTTCGCTAGAGGGCAAATCCAGCCACACTGGCGGCTCATCTTCTCATTGCTCCCACCGGCCACGTGAAGAACGCCAAGGCTGGGAGAAGCTCATGACTGTTCTGAAGGCGAGGAAGTTGACCTCAGTTGGCAAAACATTTACAATTATGGAAAAATCAACAGTTACACCTTTGATTTTCCCAAAACAAGCACACTGCAAATGGAAACACTCCTCCCAAGAATCATAGCAATCAAAATTCAAATGCAATAAGCAAACTGCGAGATTCTTCACGGAACACAAAAGCAAGAGAAATAGTGCCTCCAAGGGCATCTCAGGCAGGTAGTCCAAAGAGCCATGGCCACCCCCACGACTGTCCTTGGCCAAGCTCTCCTGAGTCCCAATTCGACATCCTATCTGCTACCTCAGTCTGGTTCTCTCTCCTCCCTTCGCTTTGACCCAGCCAAACAAGGAGTTACGAAGATCTCAAAAGCTTGCCTACTATTTTTTTTTTTTGGACTTATATACCCCCCACTATAACGGCACAGCCCTCGCTCCCAATAAAGCCATTGCCAACCCTGCGGATTATGGGTTTTACTTACAACAAGTTCACCTTTTTTCATGGACTGGCCTTACCTGATGAGTGCCCGGCTTCCACTTTCAGGCCGAGTGCATCCATCGTACTCAGAACGGAATTCTTTGCTGCTCCCGCTCAGGGACAGTGAAGTGATTCAGAGTAGGTTCATCCAGGACACATGATCCAGGATCCCCCAAAAGTCCAGGCAGAGGAAGGGGAGCTCCAGCCAGGCCCTTCTTCAAGTGCTAAAATGTTAAGGCTCCTGCAGCAGAGGTCCCAGCGCTCGGAGCGCTCCAGGGGGTCTCCTGCAGCCACAAGAAAGAGGGAGAGAGAGAGGGAGAGATGAGGTCCCGCCTCAGCCTCCAAAGCCCCAAATCCCATGGCAGCCAAGGTGCAGAGAGAGCTGATCGAGAGGTGGCTGTTCCTCTGCTGGGGGGGGGAGCTCTTTTCTCTTAGAGGTCTGACAGTGACCCCCCCCAGGAGCTTTTCCTTCGGATAGCCGATGGGGCTGAGGGCAGTGTCGGGGGGGGGCTTTGAAGGGCTATCCATTTTAGCTGTTTTCCATGACGCGTAACTGATTCTGGTGCATCCATTTCCACTTGAACTTCCACAACTATGCTAAGCCTTCAGAAGAGGCCGGGTGGGAGCCAACACAGCCCACACCGACACCACCGCCCCACCCGCAACACGTGCCTATTCCGTCTCAACAGGGAGTGAAAACGAGGGTGGGGGGGAGGAGGTGAAGCTCAGCGTGTTGTGTTTTAGAAGGAACTCGTTGCATCACTTGTGACGGGGCTGTCCTCCTCCTCCTCGGCTGAACAAGGAAAGGCTTGTGTTGCATGGCATTTACATGTTGGGCCATGGCTGTTCCAAGAGCAGACTAAAGAAACTTGTGCTCAGAGTGCTAATTGAATCAACATGCCTTATGCCAGGCGTTGCAAAAGTTTACCTTTGTCCCACAGCAGGTGGTGCTGACATACCTCCTGCTAAGTAGACAGGGCCTCCATCAAAGACTCGGAGGCCTGCCTGGGAAGAGGGGCTGTTGTGAATCAGGCCCTCAGCCCGGCTATGCCCAACACTCTCTGGTTCTCTCTAGTGGCCAGTTCTGCTACTATTCTTTGACACAATTTAGGGGGGAAAAATACACTGGCCACTGAGGAGCGTTAAGATAACGGCATCAAACTCCACAAAGGATTTCTAAAATGACTTTAAATGTCTTTAAAGGTCAACTTTTGACAGAAGCTAGGAACATGGTGGCACTGTGGGCTAAACCGCAGAAGCCTTTGTGTGCTGCAGGGTCAGAAGACCAGCAGTCGTAAGATCGAATCCACGCGACGGAGTGAACGCCCATCGCTTTGTCCCAGCTCCTTGCCAACCTAGTAGTTCGAAAGCATGTAAATGCGAGTAGATAAATAGGTACCACCTCAGTGGGAAAGTAAAACGGCGCTCCCTAGCCACGCTGGCCACGTGACAATGGAAACTGTCTTCGGACAAGCACTGGCTCAATGGCTTGAAAACGGGATGAGCACCGCCCCCTAAAGTCGGACACGACTGGACTAAAAATGTCAAGGGGAACCTTTACCTTTTTAAGGAACATTACAGCTAAAAGTAATTTGGTCCACTTCCTTAAAACGACCTCTCTTTGAACCTGCAAGGGTGTTGGTAAATAAAGGGGACATAATCCAGGCTGGGGATGCAGGACTGGAGGGAATCACCCAAATTCCCTGGCATTCCGGAAGACCTAACACCGAGGGAG